ACTTACTAATAAAGAGACATCAATAATGAAAATTAAAATTGAACAGTGATAAATACAAACAGCACTAAGGATGAAAATGAAAAAAAAATGGTGATAACATCAATTAATAAATGGAATTATATAATTTCATTAGTGAATAAACAATTAATACTTTTTGATCATGTATACAGTCAATATCAACGTAGTGATTGATCTGGATGCCAAATAGATTAGACTATACACTTTATTAAAAGATATTTTCTGTGAATTGTTATACTTTTGTGATAGTATGAATGAGGTGTTTCGTTAGTGGATCAGAGGTGGGTTTTCATCGAAAAACCTTGATAACTAAGTAATTTTTTAAATCCTAATTAACATTTTTAAAAATTCTAACCATCAGTTTATTTAAATGAAATTCGATCAATATGAGGTAGACGGCATCTGTGGAGATTGTTTAATGTTACTGAGATCACGAATCTACCTAAGTAAGATAACCATTAAAGAAAAGGTAATTGATCAGATTTATTATAGAATAAACAATTTCTTTGAATCTATTTATACTGAATATGTTTTACCATTCCATTTGTTTTGTCTCTTATTTTCTTTCTTTCTTCTTTTTTCTCTTCTTCTCTTTGTCTGAATTACATCAATTTCATACTCATTTGCTTTTTCCTGACTCTTTTTCTCTTTGTCTGTTTTGTCTCCCTCCTTCCCTCTCTCTTTCTTTCGTTCTAGTGATAACACCATGTACACAGATTCATTTATATCCAACACATGTCTATCTAACTATTTATCTTTTTGTCTATCCATTTGTATATATAACTTTGTTAATCATGACAAAAGAAAATAAAAAAGAAAAAAATTTAAAGCGTCGTTTATTTTGTTTCTAGGTTAATTAACTTTAAATTTTTTTTATTTTCAGTTTTATTTTTAAAAAAGTAATTTACCTTGATTTCAATTATGTGATAGAATAAAATAAATGTTCATAAATGTTAATTATTATCATAATTGTTTCTGATATTACAAAAGAATTATAATTAGATATTTATTAAAGACTACGAATCATTAAACAGCTGTTTTCTTTTAGTATAGGATATTTTAGCAATGGACATCTACTATATCAACAGAGATCAAACCTAGGATCTATAGGTCTCATAAAGAGTAATTAAGCTTAAGGCTATTGAACCGTCATTCATTGGTTAATAATTCTAAAGTTTTTAATTATTTTTTTCTAGTAAGTGTTCAAAAACAATTTGTACTTACACTTAACCTACCCTGGTAGTACTGATTTACTATCCAGAGTGGTAATCACATTTGTTTTTGTGTACTTTAATATTTTTCCTTTGTTATGACTTACCCTTAACCTGTCTAGTTGACCTTTTAATTTTTCATATATAAATGTTCTTAACAAGTATATGTGTGATCAGATTGTTCGAAATGTATTGCGCAAATATATCACATAATTCTGATAAACTACGTCTTCTCATTGCATTATCGAAATCATTATTTTGACAAAAATTCAATTTGCTTTGTTATAACTTGTGCTCTGTGTCCTATTAATGTATAATGTTATGATACCACCAATAAGAGAACAGTAACATATCGACCGGACCTATGACGCATTAAACCAGTACGAGCGGTCTAGAGTCCTTATCGGTTCTACTTCACAGTCTACCCAGCCTATTAAGTCCAGAACACCAATCTCAGCCTCATCGATATGAATTATTTATTTCAAACATACTGGGTTTATATACAAACCAAACAGACTACATCGTAACATAAAATAAAAAATAACAATTGTACAAGAAATAGTCAGATGTGGCTTTGAATTTGGGAGATATTAATTGATAGACAGGGCATAATTCAAGAATGGTAATAATGATAATAATAATAGTCTATAGGTCAAAATATACCTTGTGACAAGAGGAATGTGAATATGAATAGTTTAGTTACTTAACAATTATACAACAAAAAGTATATGTATAGTAATATTCAAGAACTAGATTCCGACAGTTACCATTCATTATTCTCATCGGGATATATCACTTATTGTTTATACTTTGTAAGGAGTTGATTTGTTGGAATAAATAAAACTCGCTAGAATATATGGGTTTCATGTTCCTCTATCGTTAACCAAGCACATTTTTAGATAGCACATTGCTACACAGCAATAAAAAAACCATTAGTGTTTCCAGTAATCACGAAACGATAGGTCGTTGGGATTCAGACATACCTTGTCCCCGTACTTACATACCAACTAAAGTCCAATTGGTAGATGATAGACGGTAAACAAGACGTGCTATTCAATGAAGTCTGTTACGCAATTTCTCAAGCTCTTAGCTTATAATCAATTCTCTTCTAGTTCAGAAGAATATATTTTTGTCTATTCATATTGTATGTACACTTTATTCAGTTTGTCTATTTCAGCTTCTTGCCAATTCTTAACCCTTTTATGATAGGTATACCTATAGGAAGCGTGTGTACATGTATTTGAATCAAACAGCTGAACATAACGGTAAACTAGGCGTTTTCTAACATCTATTTGATATGTTGCACGAGAGCTGATTTTTAGATCACTCACTCAGTTCATTTTATTCTGTAGTTTTGTTTTTTCTACTGGATTCTGTATTTCTGATCCAAGTAGCCTTTCAGAACTTGAATACTGATATTATACAACAGATGTTCTAACAGTGAGTTAGGTAAGTGGGTTAATCATTTTCTAGTCACTGAAGTAATCTGACAGAATAGTCTATCTAATACACTTAAAAATATTCACAATATAACGTTTTTGTTATTATTCAAATATTTGGGTGCACACACAGCTTAAAGACAATATGTTTCCGGTATTCTGAGGTCCCAAACCCATTCATCAGTCGCTAATGGATTTCATCCACATTCAACATTATGTAACATATGATAGTATGCAATTGAGCTACATAGTAGTAGAACATTAGAAGCCTTGAACTTAGTGATATTTAGAACTTGAATTAAAGTTCTGTTATTGTTGTTCTCAATGAACGATTCAGACTAAGTGAGCACACAGATGTTGTATAGTGTGTTAAGGTGATTCTTATTTACTGAGAAATACATAGATTTATCAGATAATAATCCATAAGGACTTCGGATAATTATTTGATGAACACTCGCCAATAGGTACCATAAAAGAAACATCCAATTTTATGTATTGCACAACCTATTTGGATTTGTCATTACTTTAAATATATCAGAGCAATTTACTTTATGTGCTTTGAATGATCAAGAACGTTAAATTATTTCGAATCATGACAGAGATCTTGTACATGATTTCCCTAGCTGAAAGATTAGTTTCGAGTGAATGTGTCTTGAAAATAAAGTTGATATCAATCTCATGCAACTGATCTTGTTAATTATTCTGGAAACAACAAGATTAACATAAACTGTAGAATAATACAACTTCATAAGTTCGTCGCAAATTTCTTATGATATATGACAATGAAATTACTTGATTGTTTATATTCAATAGCTGAATTCATGAGTCAATTAAACTTAGACCACTATGGAAAACCTGGAAGCACTGGACGGCAATTCCGTCTTTGTATGGAACTCCTCAACAGATACTCAACGTTGAGTATCTTGACTAAGTTATACATATAGGTCCTAAAAAATGATTACTTTGCAGGGAGTTTCTTATGTACTTATGTACTGCAAATGACCAGTCTCTGTAAACATATGCACTTACTATGCAGATTGTCTTGATATTTTCATTTAGTCAAAAGATTTTTATTGACGTCATTGGTTAACAATGGAATACAGGACACGTGTTTCATTCTATTTCGGATTCGTTAGCTGTATGCACTTGCATCCCAATGCACTGAAGTTTCAATATAACACCTTCTGTTTTAAATGTGAACGCGTGATCTACCAAACTATTGAATCCAAAAACGCTTGTTCAGGATATGATTGATAGATCCTATCCACCCCCTCAATAAAAAGACAACATTATCTTGTTTTCCGGTTGCTTGTATATTGTTAATCAAGATTGGTATGAAATGTTATTTATTTATTTATATAAACATAAAAACATTACTCCGTATACTTACACCCACAATACATAATGCATCTATCTCTGATTAAATTCAACTGAAACCTAACACAAAAATTGATTGTTCTACATGAATTCATTTCAGTTGATAACAATAAAAGGCATAATTTAATATTATTATATTCAATGAATTTACATACAGATATTAACCTAATATAGTCTAGTTTATAGAAAGAATAATAATTATGTAATAATAATAATAATAATTTTAAAAAAATTAATGTCAAAGTTCATAAATATGAAATAATAGAAAAATAAATGAAAAGAAAATCATTAATTTGACATTTGTATATATCTGTACATTTAGATGAAATGTATAATCGGTTTTGCTTTGTGTGTGTGTGTGTGTGCTTGTGAAACAAAGGGAATCATCATCAAATGAAAAAGCCAAGAAAAATAGAGACAGAAAGAGAATCAAGATAGATGAACATCACCAGTTACACCAGTGTTTGTGAAGTAATTTCAGCAAATATTTAATAATAAAAAGAAAGGTAATAAATTAATTGTTACCATTATGAGAAATTGTTTATGTTTAGTATAAATAAGAGAATAATGCTTAGTATGAAATGATAAAAAAGAAAAAACGAATAATAATATTTACCCAATTAAATGAGATAAATAAATAAGCCTGATATATATATATATATATATATATATATATATATATATATATATATATATATATATATATATATATATATATATAGAGAGAGAGAGAGATAGAGAGATCAGATTGTTTTGCTGAAGTTCTTGAAAGCTATTGCATAACATAAGCTTTTGTTTAGATCAACAAGGAAAGCACAAAAATGTGACGAAATCATATTCAATAATTGTGACAAGATGTAGCACAGTATCATTGTGTTGCATACATACAGATGAATCTGTATATATATATATATATATATATATATATATATATATATATATATATATATATATATATATATATATATATATATATATGAAGAACCAATAATTATATTATGTCAAACTGTTAAATTACAAATTCTTTATGAAAAACTTGAGTTTCTTGTTTTGTGGAGCTTAGTATAAAACACTAAAGATCCTTTCTTTCAAGTCGTATTAATAATAATACAATTTTTACTCTCTTTTTGTATTCTCAATAAGTTCAGAGCACCATCCATCTACTGATGAAAAGGTCAATCCTACAAAAACCGTGTACCTTCTCATTGATAAATGCTAAGGATAAATATGAATATCAAGAAACTGAATGAATCAAATTACGAAAATCAATACTGGAATTTACTCAATTTCGTCTATTAAATTGCAGGATATAAATTATCAATCTGTAAATATCAACACATAGTTCACAATATACATAGAATGAGAGTTTTAAGAATAAAGATAAAAGGCTGTCAAATGTCAGTAAATTAAAGATGACAATTAGGAATTAAATGTTACTTATAAATAAAAATACTGAACAAAATAGTAAGAAATAAATTAGATACATAAATATAAATATATACGCATAAATCTATATCACAGGTCAAAACTATCACTTCGTACTGTTCTGGTAGAACTGTTCGATCGAGAAATACATGAGCCAGCACAATTGTACGATGGTTCAAATTGTAAATAGCTAATAATTCTACGTGGAAGATCTAACTGTTCAAGGTATTCATCTTTGCAGAGCTAAAAAATAAAAGAAATACTACATTCACATGCACACCAATATATCATGATTGAAACTAAAAGCAATGAAACTCTCGGCTGCACAAAAGTCCAATAAGCTGACAGGAAAGCGATATTCATGAACCAATTCATCAGATGAAAATTCATTGGGAATTGCTGAACATTTTTCGTCACCCTTTACATAACATATAAATATTTGTGCATACGAAGTTAGTGTAACTATCCGACTGCTCACATTGAAGCATGTGAAGCGAGGCTAAAACTTGTTTCCAATGTGTTGGAAAACTGATGCCTCGAAAAACGCTAAGCTCTACGAATAGTATCACATATTAGACCAAAAAATTGAAATGAAAAGTGAAATGTAAAATTAATGTCAGTAAATCATAACTGTTAACAATTGAAAACAGATGTATTGACGCCAAGGATCCTTTTGTTTAAGCGAATTCCTAGTGCTATTTAACTCTATTAAACAGTGTAATTTTGAACCTCTGCTCAACTAATTCACTTTCAGCATTTAAGTAGTATTGTTGGTCGCTGCAAAAAGTGTAATTTAAAGTTGAATATACGAATCCATGTTTAATAAAGAGATAGCAATTATTCTCATCTACAATTACTACTATAAAAGATATCATAACAGACAGATTTGCACTAATCCATTATCTTCATAAATTTATATTTAATATATCAACAACAAAAAAACACTCAATTTATCATGGAACTTTAACTATCATTTATCTATACCTTATACATAATTGTTACGTATCGATTTCGAAGTTGGATATCCCTAATGGGATGTAATTGGAGGATTTATTTACAAATGTTACTTTGATTCTCGGTACCTCAACCCAACGTCTCCAACCACTAGTTACATTTATTGCGAGGACCTCAAGGAGCAATTCCGTACCTACCAACATATCATTCACAATATAACTAAATGTGTTGGTTTGGTTGACCTTAGCTTTCACTTCCCTACTCTTACTCCAATATTCCGAGTCAAGGTAGGCACTAACTTGGCATACATATCTCAATCACCTCAGCCGATGAAGATTAACATTCTTACCAACTGATTTGGTATCTTTGCCAAATACCCTGAATCTAACTGCAACATTCCTCACTGGGTTCTAATATACGCGAGTAATGACTCAAAGACAATAATGATCAAATACTAATAACTCATGAATGCCCTTTATATTTAAAGGTCATGTTTCTGACATAAAACAGACAACTGTGCAGTATACTGACCCCTTCGTTGGTGGATGGATATATCTCGTCTACATTACAGTGATTCATATTGATGACCTTTTGAAATCCGTGCCGACATTTCATGAGACCTCAGTTCACTAAAGTTAATGAGGCCCTTACAAGATAAGTAGAATGATTAAGACTTTCAATTATTTTAATCCCAAACATTAGTCTAGACGTTAAGGTAGATTAGTCATACACCAGCATTTCGCATTAGGAATTATAATCAGTTCATTTATTCACTTATAAACGATTAAAAGCTAAATAACCATTTTCCAGTATATCCACTTCATATGATAAATATTCACTTGACAGGGTACTAAGTATGGTTATAATATGCAGGTTAATTTGTGTTCGAACTCAAACGGATATAGTGAACTAAACATAGCAAGAAAGATCTGAAGTATTTCCTTACTTGACGAATTCGTTGTCTTACTAATGCCTGTAGTTTTGGTGGCGGAGGTAGTTGATAAACCAGAAGCACATCAATTTGTACCGTTGAATTTATCACTGAAGTACCAGCAGAAGTAACAACAACACCACTACTATTACTGGTACGTGTGGATACTGTGGCAGTACAACTACCTGAGGAATTACACTGAGTTCCAATAAAAGAAGATTCAAAGGAAACAGCCATCGGACGATAGGAAGAAACACTTAACTCTAAACTTGAACAACCAGTCATTTGTCGAAATGGTGAACTTCCGGAAGACAGGTGAACTTTTGACAATGGAGATGGTAATGATGTAGATAGGTGATGACTCAAATTAAGGTTTCGTGGTTGAATAAGCAAACAAGTTGGAGATATAAACGGTTGTTGTTTCTTGAATTCAGTCTAAAATAACACAAAAAGACGGGTTTCTATGGAAATATTAAAGTAGTTATGTAGAAAAAAATTTAAATATAATGTCTTGAAAATACGACGATAACTCCTATGTGCATATTATTACCTGGATACCACAAATGCTTTCCGTTCTAGCCCCAATTACTGCAAAAGACAATCCTTCAAGTAAGATTTATCGATAGAGATCAAAGAAGATTGGTTTAAGCAAGTATTACATGTGTATAAATGAGCTTACAAATACATCGGAGAAAGGGTAAGGATTTAACACACTGAAAGACTCAAGAAAAAAACAGCTAAATTTGGTCATGGTAGACAAAAAAGGGTGGGGAGAAAAGGAATATTGAAACTTAAAAAGTAACAAAATAAGTTGTTACTAACTTGTTTCCTAGGGGTGTAAAATAGCCCAACAAATTAATATTTCCCTAGACAGAATAGCCGAAAACAGTTCAAGTAGAAGTCAGTCAGTTATCTACCTCTCAACTATAAGTTTCAATCCAGCATAAAATTAATTCATTCTCTAATTAAATTAATACCAATTGTCAGAAACAATCTTTATTCTTTCATACTGAATTATTCTACAATACTATAACTAGCAAAGATAACAATAATGTTCAATAGACAAATGTAGTTTAATTTTATTCTTGGAAATCACGTAAATAAAATTTAATATGTTTATCAAGTTAACAACTACAAGAAACCACCAAGAATATTTCATAGAGTCTTTTTTAATCAATTTGAGAAGAATAAAAGCACAAATTTGAGCAGTGAAATAACACGAACTCATTTTACTTCATTTCGGTTTCTATTTAACTTACAACCTGAAATTAAAATTTTAAATAAGGTCTATCATGTTTATAGAAGTTAAGTTGGTTGGAATTTGATGTAATAACATACCAGTATGGTACAATAAATACTCCAATAGAGTTGAAAAGGACGAGTGAAATGTTACAACTATTCTGGAACTCCGATCATGCTAATGGTAAAAGACCGTCAGACTAAAACTAAGTAATTATGTAGTTGCGCAATGGAACACAGAATAACGATAAATGAGAATGGTATGAATTAAATTTAATCATACATATAATCCGAAAAAAATAAAAGAGATGAAAGAATAAAAACCCAAGAATATTGGGCACGAGTGCTACTTCCTCCTTGTCATTACTTATGAGCCATGTCATTCAACATCTACAGTCACTAATCATGAGTATTGCCTGAGGCCTAAGTAGGAACTCTCTATGTGGATGAACTATTGTTAGGGCTGATCACTTTTACCTAGGTGCACAAAAGAACAAAATGTACTGGTGTGGAAGATGCTTACCACAGTATATTTTTACATGAAAACTAGTTTAGTTATACAACAAATAACGCAGGTAGAAAGTCTGTTATGGGTCATCCAATTATTTTAAAACGGTTTAGAGATGAGTCTAGATATTTTACAATTCATTGCAATACTAGACTAAAAATAAACTATTATTCAAGCAAATTAATAAAAATCAACCACTTTAGAAAATATTTGGGCTTAAAGTATGGACTAATAAAGTAGACAGATGATTGCAAACAGTTTTTAAAAGTTATACTTTAGAAATACGAATAAATCATTTTACACATAGATCTTATGTCACTAGAAAGTAGTTACACTTCGCATAGGATGCTGCAGTTGTAAGACTCAGATGATAAATGTATCTACTTCTTAGTGAGAATGTGAAAATAACAACAATAATAACAAAACAATAATAGTTGACTTACGCGTTTTGTAGAATTTTCTTTGCTGGTTTCTTGACTAGCACCTTTGTTATTCACGCATTGTGAATTAGAACAGCCTTCTACACTTATAGATGGGACGGAGTGCCTTAAAGATACAGGAAGCGTCTTACAGCTGGAAAACAGGTATTCACGTGAACTACTACTGGAGTTCTGACTACTAGTATTATTATAATATCCCACTGCTTGTCGTGTAATTAAAGCTATCCTTGATCCACAACGGCTCATTACCGGTAGGTAATTGGTAGGACATGTGTGAATTGGGCATACTGATCGATCAAATCTCAAAATTCTTAACCTTTCCAATGTATCAGAATTGAAAATAGTAAGCCATAAAGTGGTGCAACCAGGCAGTGTGGGAGCCAACATTGGGGATGTACTATTATTTTTTGAATTGTAACGTGTATTTGATTCATTACACTGTGTTGAAACCAAGGTCTTTTGCTGAGTTCGACCACTTTCAGTTCCGTTGTTTGTTGGTCGGCCTGAACTTAAGAGGTTGCAAATATCATCTGAGTAACCAGATACATCTGGTAATAAAGAATTCACAGAATGGTTAATATTACCAATGGCAGAACACCGACAGGTTCGAGACTCTGTGGTGATTGTAAATAAAAAATAGCCATCTCTTGAATAAAATATGCTCATAATATGTGGAAAAACATGACTGAATGAGTTTGGACTGGGTAAGCTACCTACATGGTTAGCATCTGATGATCGTCTTCGTCTTGTCGGTTCTCTACACGTAGCATTGTTTATTAAAGGTGAACCGTGACGATTTGAAGGAGACCAAGAACAAAGTTTGTTAGTTGATGTTAAACACTCCCATGTTGGAAGTTTTACTAAACTTATAGTAGCCTGTATTCCTGGGACCCAGTTGGAAGACACTTTGTGAGAGTTTGGTCCATGTGGAAAGTCCACGTTAGTTATTGCTATGCGTGAATTTACAAATCGTGGATCAAAAGCAAACAACACCTGAGAAGAACGAGCTGGACCTAGTTGAAGTTGATTCTCGTTTTGTAAATTCCCTCTAAAGTTTGCAGTTACTTCGTTGGATGTTGATAAAATATCGTACGACGGTCGAATACTTGACTCTCTATTATTTTCCTGATATGGGCCTAATGGCAGACGGAAACTGCTTAATGGCAATTCATCGTAATTCGAAGAATTAGCTAATGGAAGTTCAGAAATAAGCTCACTATTTCGTAAGTTGTACAGCTGAAACGACAATGAAAAAATACATCAAAAACAAAGTAAATAATCATAGTATTATTATTTTCACATTACAATTAATTGCAGCTAATTAAGCTAGATTACTCAGAGAGACCCAAATTTTCATAAGACAACACAGGGAGGATAAATCAACAGATGAAATAGAGCATTGAAAGAGAAAAGTGTCTTTTAAACAAGTACCAAATAACTAGTTGTACAAAAAAGGCTGTTTTTAGATAGCATTTGCACGCTGAGTCGAACAGACGTTCAACGTAATGTATCATTCAACCATCTCACATTTACTTCATAAACCGGTCTACCATTCTTAATAAAGACTATGCTTAAAATTAGTGTTTACTAATCTTTGTTCTCTGTGTAGATATAACTCATTTGTCTGAGTGAATCATTTGATCTCATCTTTTTAATATAAAACTATTAAATTATTACTTATGATTCATCCCGTCGTTAGTAAATAATGATGATCATCTAAATACAGAGCACAAACTGTGTTATAATACGGTGAAACTCTTCAGTTTTTCTCATCGAAATATTTACAAAGCCAACTAGTTTTTTATACTGTAGTGTCTCATATGTTTTGAAAAAAATAATTGGATGAAAACAATGAAAATAATATTAGACATTCAAGTTTTAAAATACCTTTAAGCTAAAAATCAAACTTTTAACAATACCAGATATTTTACTAATAAACCATATAAAAAAAACCTTCATCTTGGTTTAGTTTTATGTGAACAGCTGAATTTTGAGCGCATTCTCAAACTACATGAAATAAAGCCAATATTTATAAAACAATTGCAGATAGCGAACAGCTCTTTTAATATGAAATTCTTCTTAAACTTCATGAGACCCAACGTATTTACATAAGGTGATACCAGAGATAAACTTTATATAAATCTTAATAAATAGTTCATTCTTATATTACTATAAAAAGAGAACAGTGGCTGACTTGACTTGTACAAAAGCTTTAACAGCCTAGACTCTAAAAAGAAAAATATGTAGCACAACTGAGATACTTTACTATAAAACAGCTAAACCATGAATATATGTTGCACTTAATATAAGTTTCTCCCAATATTTAAACGGAACTCAAATATCAGTGTCATTAAACGAGCTACTAAACAAGCACCTAATCATAATCTTCTTATTTTTAAAGGGTTGAACATTTTCTATTTATTTCAGAAACTGCTTGACAGAACGGTACTTATTAAATGAAACTTAAAAATATGTTGGAATAAACGGGACTTACCAGCTATTATGCTTCGGTAAGTAAACGGTGAATAACGAATCATGAAAAATGATTCCCACGTTTTTTGAAAACAAATACAAGGAAGGATGATAAACAATAGTTACACATCTGAATAGATGAGTGTCACTATATGTAAACCATTCATTTAACACTTAAGTCACCTGCAAAGGTGAAATTTCCAAACAAAATTCCATTATAGAAATCTCCATTGAGAAGGCATTCAAAAACCATTATTGGATGTCTGTTTTAAGCATGGATAAATGTTTTTTTACTAACTCGAAATGATTTTGGGGGGACGAATAATCTTAATCTTGTATAGTACCATCTGTTCCAAATCGTAAGCGTGTACACATGATTTGTTATTTTGTCAAAAAATTAAAAAGATTAGCACGCAGAAACTATAAGTGATCATTGTTACATGTATAGATCACACCTGTAAAATGCATGCTAGACATGTAAGACAATAACACTCTAAGAGTGCTTAAGATGTGTTAACATAGGAAGAATTGTAAAACATGACCGTTTCTAACGTTTCATTTAACTTTGAATTTACTATTTTTGAGTTTGTCTGACCGGTAACCGATCGTTTCTTGGTTCCTAAGAAACTATTTACATCACTATGCATGCCGTTCGTCAGCTATGCAACTATTCTTCATTCCCTAATAAGTAACAGATTTGTGTGACAATAGTAGGATCAATGTTCTAAGTATTAAATAGTATACAGAAGTGAATATTGTAATGAAACAACCGGAGGGTAATATGGATAAATGAAATTTTAAATTTAAACTTTTACGTACTTAACCTAAGTAGTGTCCCGAAAGCAACTTTAGTTTAAACATACGCATATAGTAGTCATCATAGCAAAACTAGTAATCAAAGCAATAGAAAGTATCCATGTTTATGGTAATATTGCCAGATAGAAGACAAACTTAGGTTAATCAGAAAAATCTATTTATTTTTTGGTTGGTACTTAAATATTCACCAAGCATCCTATACGATCGTCAGTGTTTGCAAGTTTCGAGTTTATGCAGTTAACAGATGGTATTATTAGTTAGTTGTTTAAACCTTGACTATACGTCTATATGTATGAATAACATAACGACAATCAACCGTCAAGCTTCAATTATTTTTAAATTCAGCATAATACGATATCATTTTTTGGAGCCTAAGTTTTAGGTGATAGTTACTTCACTTGAAAATATCGATTTAAATAAATCCTCACCCCTCATCTAGAATATACACATATATTTTCCAAAATAAGCAAAGAAAATACTGACATACAAAAATGAAAAGCCATTAGAACTGTCCATAGAATATAACGTGAAAATAACTGTAGCACAAATCTTCTACAAAGTACTAAACGCTAAGAAGTGCAACTGATTACATACCTTGAGTATATAAACTCTTCTATTTCTCGACCAAGGGAGTCTAATTAGACAATAAGTTCCATCGGGTGATATTTTTCCTATAGTTGATTCAGGACTAAAGAGAACCGTTTGCCGACCAAAAGAACCAAGGAATTTATTAATCCTCAAGTCAACTAATGCAAACTGAGTTATCATATCTCGTGCCAAATGAACAACTGCCAATCCACTGTGAATATCTAACACCGATTTGAAGTGTAAATTCTAAAAGTAGTTCTTAACTAAAATTCAAGTACCTGTATGGAAGATAAATGAGCAGGTATGTGATTATACTCGAAATGCTCAGCCATTTTTGTATACTCTCTTCGCTTTCTCAGTGAGAAAACAGAACACGATTTTCGAAAATTCACAATATTTTGCCTAGTGAGACAAAATGCCGATGTGCAATCATGAGGCAATTGATAGGTACACACCATCACCTTGTCTGAGAAGTTGAAAAGCTCTAAACGTGCCTTATGAGTAAAATATAATTCACGTTACCCCGGTGAGATTTTTTCCATAACTCCAGAGTGCATTGGTGAATTATTCTTCCAGGTGAAACAGGCGCAAAGAAACACAAATTTGGAGTATTACAGTTAGATTTGTTTGTTTGACCAATTTTGCTTTCCTCAAGACCCATCACGAGTGATAGCTCATGATCTACGTGAAATAGAGCGCGGACAATTCAGACAAAACGGTATACCAATGACCTTACAAAGCAGTTTGCAAAATACGACTTTCAATTTTCAATATAAGATTACTGAGCTGAAAAAGTGTTGAACAACTTTTAACTCAGACTTCAAAATGTTTAAACTATATTGTTCTGTTTAAGCAATAAAGTGGTTCGTGAATATGCTGTTTACCCTATTCATCTTATAATGGATGATGTTACGATATTTTGCTTCTTAATCTTCATTCTAGCTCAAAATATATCCAGTCTAACTTGCGGCATATTTTCCAAGTCACACGTGATAATCACTTCCATGGTTTTAAGCCTTGTATATAATAGTTTGACATGGACATTAGTACATTTAGTTTGGTCAAATTAAACAATTGTTTTCTGTCAACAAGATTCTTAGGTTTCATTCCGTTAGAAAGTCTCGATTTGATGCTTGGTTGATATTTCAGTGACTAACGTTCCGGTTCATGAGCTTAGTCCCACCCACACAATGTGAATCATGATGGATCAAAGGTCCTTGAATGTTTTATCATTTCAAGATGCTCATCTGGTACATCTTTTCCTTCTGACACTGCCTGCAGTAGCAATCGTCTGTTAAATCTGGAAAAACTGGGGATCGACAACACCATCAACACCAAAAATCTCCAATGCTCGCACATGGAAGGTTCTATTCCTCAGCTTATTAGAATTAAGAGATGGGAAAATGACAAATGAGTATTTGGCAATAAGAACAACTCAGATGATAAAATAGTTGTTAGATAGAAGAATGAGGCGAAAAATACAGACTCGTCGTTGAACAACCCTACTCTTTTTAATATTCGAGTTCAAAGTCACTGGCTATTTAAAATCAAAGATACTTTGAGAGGAGTATCGCAGTATGTCAGAATTTGACATCTCATAAATTAAACTGTAGAGCTTAAGTACGGAATCAATGACTTCGATCTGGGAACATAGAGTATGACTCTGTCAGGATAACACAGGTGGCTCAAAAGAGAAAATGGATTCCTGGTTAGGGGACTTTAAGTACACAACACTTACTCATACAGGGCTTGAAAATCTCTTAGAGTTGGGTTGTGTTGTTTTCATGTGAAGTCAATAATTGCTTATAGAAGGAATATGCAGCTTCCTCACGGGCGAAATAGAACAGAGAACAGCTTCTCTGATTTATTTGGACGTTGGGATGTCTAAAGTATGAATAATTAATCATATTCACGATCTTCATCCAACACTCACTGAATCATCACAGTACTGAGGATGACTTTCAAAAAGGCTGTCCGACAAAAAACTTAGAGCGGTAATCAAAGCACTAGAGTGCTTGAGGATAGGGTCTAACACACGTTAAGATAATTGTGGGAAGCAATAACGGTAGGGAAGTCTACCCGCGTATAAACAAATCATTTTCTAAAGTACCCATGTTCAAGCACCCCCAGGCAGCAGACTCAACTACATGTTCGATCAAACACACTGTTGTATTATCAGGCACGTAACATTCCATTCCATAGCAATGAATAATATAGCTATGTGAGGAACTTCCCTCTACATGTCGATAAACAATGAGAAACCATGAAGCGAAGTATTATGAATGCCACCTAGGGCAATTTCGCTACAGTAACATTCAGATCAGGTAAAGGAAGCCCATTACAGAAAAACGATGTTAAGTGTCTGGTTCATGCAAGAAAATAAGGACGCAACAGACGAAGAATTATAACAAGGTTTTTTCAACCATAATCTGTAATTCAGAATGTGTTATCTGAACAATCTGCTGTGACCATAAAATGCTGGTTCATTTAATATTCCTTGGTTTCGCATAAGCCTTTGACACAATACTTCATGTACTTCTCATAGCAAAGTTTAGAAATATGGAATAAACTAGTCCATTTTTATTCTGGCTCCGTAACTACCTAGACAACAGGATGTTTTGTGTCAAGGTAAATAGAGTGCTGCAGGGTCTAATCATAAGGAGTTTTACAGGAGATATATTCATATATTCACTTAAGTTCCTGATCTTTGTTGATGACCTTTCAGATATAATTGGGCCGGTGGCACAACATGCAACTAATGAGGCAATCTGAAGGTTCATAAAATATGAAAAGGATTCATTTGAGCTCGAAAAGAACCTTATAACAATCGAGGAATGAACAGTAGACAACGGATTAATACTTGACCTGTTAAAGTGTTATGTCGTGAACATTCTGCCTCATTTGACACAAAGTACTCAAACTTTCCATAGGGATCCGCCCTCGATTATCTCCTCAGAGATTGATCTCGGGCTTGTAACCACAGACAGACTAAATACCAGTTCAAGATTACACGGAAGATCTAACCAAGGCAAACGCAACTCTCCACCTTATGTGTAGACAGCTTGGAACAGTCAATTCAGAGTTGTTCCTAACACTGTTCAAAGCTCACACATGGCCTCATCTTGAAGTCCATAAGGTTGTTGTGCTTCCTCTTTTCAAAACGGATATAAAGTTCACCAACCACACACCAAAATGAGTAACCAAGTGAGTGATAGGGCTTAATCCCAAATCTTACGTGGACAGAATTCAGCATCTGAGATTATCCTCACGGAGCTATGGTCTGGTGATGACATACAGCACACAAATATACAAATCTCCCGAACATGAGCATATTACCGAACGTTGTTATCACGCTCCTTGAGGCCACCCTCGAAATACTGCAAATCAAAAAGCCAACACCCAGGTACGCTCTCACACTTTATCACTGCGCATTTCTCCCATTTGAGACGCTCTGATAGCCGAAGTGACCAAAGAGCCCTCAATGGATAGCTTTAAGAGATTTCACAAACACAAACATAGTCATGGATTACCATCCTCCTTTTGGGTAAGCTGTGTTTTATTCATGTCTGATAAATTATCACAGTTATCATTGCCGCAATTAGTAAACACTTCCAATCTCTCTTATTATCATCTCCGTTTCCCCTCTTATTCTTTCGATTCCGTCTATTACATACTACCAATTAATACAATTATTTACTTCTTCCAGAAACAATCATTTCTTGGCACTCGACTTATCTCCTTATCATCTTCAAAGTGTAACCAACTAACTTCCTCTCTGGTAATGTGATAGATGCTGGTGCTTAGAAATCCCACTGCCCTTGGACAAGTGGACTCACTCGACTACATGACTTGTAAACCCAAAAATAATTAACAAAGCAAATAGAATTGGGGCCAGACTACCACACATTTGACATGACCAAGTACTCTACCGAAACCGTGACAAAACAGTAAGAAGCAAGTGCGATTATACAAGCTCGTAACAAAGATTTTGGATATTGTGCCTTGACTTAGCGAATGTGAGAATATCACTCTGAGTAATGTTGCAAAATTGAACCCGCTTTCCTCAGTATAGCAGAATGGACCATACTCGGTTGACGAGAAGTGTTCTGGCTTAGGTACTGCGGTTTCCGACACAAATACATTTCACCTGGCAGGATATGGCTTATTCTGCTACACTGTGGGGAGCCTTTTCAATACAGGCAACTCAATCACGAAGCCGAGGCACATCACCAGAAAGCTGGAAGCTGGCTCACATAATAATGGTTTTCACAGGAGGTCGACGAAGCGGACCTTCAAGCTACAGGCCGATAGCACTTCTCTCAATAACCTCGGAAATCATGAGGTCTCTGATGTTTAACGATCTGTATGAATATTTGCCATCAGTAAAGGTCTTTACAACACAACGACATGGTTTCAGGAAGGGTTCCTCTTGTATAACAGACAAGCTGACCGCTGTGGACAGGTGGACAACCACTTCGTGTCTTTAAGGTAACCCTCGTGCTATTGATAGAAGAAATCAGACAAGTAGTGAATAGGTCTGTATTTCGATCTTCGCGCAGTCACAGTGGATCATGGGATTATTTGTCCAGACAAACAAAGCCTCTCAACATTCAATATAAGATGATAGGAAATATAACGCCTATGCAAAATAAGGAAGTGAATGAATACTTGACCTACACTGTTTTGGCATATGCTTGGTTGTTCGAGGTCAACTTTTAACCAGCCAACCTATGCTTTTACATTAGCTTCCCCCTAGAATCGACTTCCGTAGGAACGTCGGTTTGATTAACCTAGCTATCAAAAACACATTAGTTCTGTTTTCCCAGCTCAAGGGAAAATTATAAACTCGTTCACTGTTTGACTTCCAATCAATGACGACTAATTCCGTCAACAATCAACGATAATCCACGGATGTTTCTTCATTTGCTAGCTAGTCATTTTATTTTGTAACACGTGATTTCTTCTACAGCTATCGCCGACGGTTTGCTACGTGCTCTCAAGAGAAAAAGTGTGAGAATGTGGAACAAGAATATCTGAGGATGTGCCACGAGCGGGCTACCCAACACCATGTTGGTGAGGTACGATTTTTCCATGCTCAGACCGGCTATCAGGTGTTTACTCTTGAGTCGCCCTCAAGTAAAAAGTAAAAAAGAATATACTTCAAAGGTAATGGTGAAAACCAATCAAACCTGAAGATATGCTCCACTGCCTGCATGAAATAATAAGATACAAAACGGAAATACGGAAATATAGTTGTTCGGTTCCACGTAAGTGCTTGGCGTCCAAAACGGATTGGTATTCTCGAAAAAAATAGAAACAGGGTAGACATCTGGAATACGAAAAAATATAAAAACAGAATAAATACTTTTTTATAATGTATATATGTAAAAGTGTAAACTTGCTAGAAGTTGGACTCATTGTCAAACCCGATCAAATGTACGACCTTTGGCCTATGACGACCTCCATTTATAACCAGATACGTAACCAAGGGTGCATAAGAGTATTCCAAAAAACGGAAAGGAATATACGGTTCAGGAGGAAAAAATTATGAAGAGTACGAGGAACAAGTACCTTTGTGTCAAATACCCTTTTCTGGTTTGATGTAGGTACGCATGATATATTGAAGCGATATTCCGTCTATTCATCCAGGTAACGAATTGGTCTGCACCTTCGAAAAGTGAAGTTCTATTATTTATCAGCATTATCAATGAATAATCGGTGTAGGGAAATATTGTTATCATTT